AAAACTGCATGCTTTTGAGAAAGGCATAAACCACACATGAATGATAAAGTAGTGGAATATAGTTGGTTCTAATGAATATAAACTAAATTGCAAATCTTGTGTATCAAGTATCTTGTTTACTGTTTCTTTTCACTGGTACAGAAATCTTGCAACTTTATTTAAAATGTCTTAAAATCTGCATGTATTAACATATAATTATGGCTATAATCTAATGCCCTTGGAGTCCATGGAATTACTCCATCTGACTTCAGCAGTTTATTGGCATTTATTGACACACAGCATCAGTTTGAAGCTCTGTTTAACTTCCCATCCTCTTACATTTACCACCTCCTGCTTGTATTGACATTCAGCATACCTGCTAATTAGCTTCAGGTGGAGCAGGATCCTTTAAGAAGATCTGTTGTCTTCCTGACTGTGGCCCCATGAGGTGGCCATGTACACACCTAGTAAGTCAATTCATCTTTAACTCATTACTTTCAGTACATAGAGCTTATGATTTGAATGACCAACTGCTGGGTTAATTTTCTTCTTAGAAATTGATGTTTGGAGATCTGTGGCCAAACACTGAACTGAGAACCTCAATTCCCATGGACTTGTGTATACCTGAGAGTGCTAAGCACATCTCCAGAGGCATCCAGCATCTTCCATGATTGGATCTTTGTTGGTTACCACACTTAACTTTTTTCTTAAGGAGAGCTACCTTGGTAGGCAAGACTTGAGCATTCGTGATTTCCATAATGATCACCACTTAAATTCACTGTATTACTGAGATTGCACACTAATTTTTTTTTGCATTTTTACAGGATAAAATGAGTTTTCCCCCTTGGTGTTCTGCGTGTAGCTTCTTATGGGCAGGTGTACACTCCAGGGGAAGAGTAATCTAAGTTAAGCAACTTCAGTTACATGAATAGTGTAGCTGAAGTCGACGTACTGAGATTTATTTACTACGGGGTCTTTTCTGTGGTGTATCAACAGGAGGTGATCTTCCATCAACTCCCCTTGCACTTCTTGTTGAGGGGGAGTACCAGAGTGTACCAGAGAGTGATTGGCAATCGATTTACCATGTCTATATTAAACTTGATAAATCGGCCTGTGCTGGATCAATTGCTGCCTCATTGATCTGGCAAGTAGTGAAGACAAGCCCTGTGTGTGTATAATACTTTGTAAAAATCTCTGTTGTTTCAGTATAACTTACAAGGCTCTGATCCTTCAATGGAATCTCTGTGGGAATATACTTATGACTGTGAAACTCACTGGGTGCAGCAGGACTGCACAGATGGTAGATCTTGCTTACAACAGGACTTTGGATTTATCTGATGCATAACATATGGAGAGAGATGACATCTTGTTCTCCATAATATCACCTTTCATTTTAAAATAAATCCATGGTGGTAGTAGTTGAAAACTTAAGTGTGAACCAAGTATAACAGATTGCAGAGGGCCACAAGTGTGCAGGATGTTTTGAGCAACAAGTCTTGAAAGTTTAGCTGCCCCATTCATCTGAATGAATTGTTAACTGAGATGTCCAGGAATGATGGTTTAAATACCAACACTGTTGACTATTTCAATTCTTCACATAAAGGAAAAGGTGGGTCACAAATCTGCACAATTTTCTGGGAATGATGTGCTATTTTGACTACTCAGATGCATGGCATTTGGGAGATACCATGACTCTTTTTAGTCCAGAAGGACCTGAGCCCAAGAAGAGTCCATGAGTACATTGCTCATTCCAGAGGGAGCTAAGCTTGTAGAGCCCACAGAACAAACACACACACTTTGAATACCTGCACAATCTGTTGAGAGCAATGTCTCATTTGGTGATCCATGGGAGCGGAGCTTATTTTGTGGCTGGACCTTAAAAGTGTACTACAGTCTTCCACTTCCACAATTTGAGCACTGTCTATATACCTCCTGTTTGGGGATTTGGTCTAATTTTGACAAACAGCAAAATAACTAAGTAGTCTACACTACTGGGCTGTGTCTACACTGGCATGAATTTCCGGAATTGCTTAAAACAGAATAGTTTTCGTTATAAGTATTTCCGGAAAAAGAGCATCTACATTGGCAGACTGCTTTTCCGGAAAAGCCCTTTTTCCGGAAAAGCGTCTGTGGCCAATGTAGATGCGCTTTTCTGGAAAAGAGCCCTGATCGCCATTTTCACGATCGGGGCTTTTTTCCGGAAAAGACTACTGGGCTGTCTACACTGGCCCTTTTCTGGAACAGTGTTCCGGAATAAGGACTTATGCCCGAGCGGCAGCAGAAAAGTTTTTCCGGAATAGCGGCTGATTTTGTACAGTAGAGCATCGTTGCTTTTCCGGAAATTCAAGGGCCAGCGTAGACAGCTCGCAGCTTATTCTGGAAAAGCGGCTGATTTTCCGGAATAAGTGGCCCAGTGTAGACACAGCCCTGGTGATATAGCGACATAGTGCTATGCTGTTTTGACCCCATAGTCTAGATGCAGACTACTGCGATCGAAGAGGTTTTCCATTACTATAAGAATGCTGTGTTCCCTGAGCAATGGTTTTGAAGAAAATAGTTGTTCATTAATCATCTGCATCTATACCACAGCTAAGGTTTGTGCTTAGCAGTGTGGAGTTTTTCACACCCTTGAGCACTATAGCTATGTTGGCCTAAGTTTTTAAGTGTAGACCAGAGCCGGAGAAAGCAAATTTGGAGAGGAGGTCACCTGTGAAAGGCTACGGCTGGGTTTAAACAGAGTTTCTGTACAGTTGGTAGAGTGGATGACTTTTTATCTCAAAAAGTTTTATACAAGGGGTCATCAACCTTTCAGAAATGGCGTGCCAAGATTTAACTTCTATTTACGATCTGTGTGCCATTGATACTTTTTAAAGTCAATAATAGTCCTACTTACATTTTAGCAACTTTGTTAATCTCTCTCAGTAGCCTCAAGTGTGTGCTGCATCCTCTTTCACTCCCACTCCTGCCCACCACATCCCTGTGCTCCCAGCGCATACACCGGCAGTGCATCAGTGCTGGCACTTGCAGCTCCCTGGGAGCAGCGCTGGAATAAGGAGGCTGGGGGAGAGGGTCGAGCCTGACCACGTGCAGCTTCCGGAGCAGGAGGTGGCAGTGTGCCACTCAAAATCATCTTGCGTGCCACTGATATCATGCCTGCCATACGTTGCTGATCCCTGTGTTACACCAATAAAAACTCTGATGTAGACACAAATACACTGGTTATAAAAGCGACTTAGCCCTCTTCCTATGTGGGGATAGCTGTGCTGAAAACGTCTACACTATGGAAACCACAGAGCCATAGCTACAACACCATAGATATACGGGCATAGCTCCAGAGTGTAGATGCAGCCTATGCAAATGGAAAGGTTTTTTCTCTTCTAGGAGCACTACCTCTTTGAAGGTAACTAGAAAAGTCAGCATATGAAAAAGCTGTTTGTTTGACACTTTTGCCCACAAAATACTTCCATCCCATGGGAGTGCCTTTGCTTTGGCAGCAGGAGAATGCTCCTGCCAACAAAGTAGCATTCCCATTTTCACCAGTCATGGCAAACTTTGTCATTCATGTTTTCTTTTTTCAAGCCTGTGAATGACACAAGTTTTGTTGATCAAGTCAGTGCAAGTGTAGACACACCTTAGGTCAGCAGATGCAGTTTTCTGTCAGCCTCCCTGTGTACGTCCTGGATGTTAGGTCTGCATAACAGTTTGCTCAAGGGTGTGTATCTATCACTCCCTGCCTGGACTTACTTAGCTACGTTGACCTACATTTTAAGTGTAGGCCAGGTCAGGACATTTATATTGGTATTACTGGGAACTTAGTAAAAACAACAAGGAGTCCTGTGGCATTTTAAAGACTAATAGATCTATTGATATACAGGGCTCGACAAATAATACAATCTACTCTCCCGTGGTGAGTAGATTGTAACCCGGAAGAGTCAGGTTTGGGCGATCTGCGCATACGCAGAACGATCTGCACATGCGCAGATCGCTGGACAGCGCGGCTGGTGAGCAGGGCTCGCCGCAGTTCAGCGAGCCCTATCGATATAGATAGATATATAATAAAAATCTATCTATATCTGTTAGTCTTTAAGGTGCCATAGGACTTCTTGTTTTTGCAGATCCTGACTAACATGCTACCCATCTGATACTTGAGAACTTAGTTATTGGTGTAACTCAGAATTTTTGAAGGGTTTAAAGGATAGTCAGCTGGTTTGTGGGAAGGACCCTTTTAAAAACATAGCAAACAGTATGAGAAGAGGGTGCAAGGAGAGAATTTCTGTGCTACTGATTACTGTCTGCTAAATTGCTTTCAAGAATAAAGTAAAGAGAGAAGCTGTGGCAATGTATCAAAGAAAAAACTGGCATCAGGAAATTGACACTGATTAACCTGTTTAGGGGGAAAGACATTTTATTCAACACTAGCAGTTTAAAGGTTTAAAAAGCATTTTTTACCCCACACAAATTAACTCTTTGTATTAACATGATCTGTTGGTTCTGGGATGGATTGTTAGTCTTTAAGGTGCTGCTAGATTATTTGTTGTTTTTTAAGTTTTTCTGGGATGAAGTGGTTAGAGCTGTTGCTTTCCAGAACTCCAGAGGCTCTCCATCAACACTTTTATAATTGCCCTCTGTCATCTTTGAATAGGAGAAATTCCTTTTTCATATCTAAACGCCATGTGAAAGATTAATATGCTCCTGTTCTTGAAATCTCTTTAAGGCAGCACCAGGAATATTTGCACAGATTTCTCTCACACCATCAATAAATATGGAAATTATAACTTCAAATCTCATATTATTTCTCTCTGACAGTGCAATATAGTGTTACAATTAACTGAATTTAGACTTATTTTTTCTTAATGTTGCAAGAGAGATATGCAAATTTTATTAAAAATATGCATGGTTAAATTTAGCCATAAATTCCATTCAGGGATTTCTGCTTTGTATATTGTTCCAAGTCAACATTTCTGCAGAGAAAACCACCCACTGTGCAGGAATACACAGTCAGCTACTTGGAAAGGTGAAAAGTTTAATTACAAGAGTTTATATATTCTGGGGAAAAGTAAAATAAGGCAGAGCCCTAATTTTTTTTGTAACAATTTTAACTAGCGGAAATATGATTTTATACTGTTTACTTTGACATTTCTGTGATAAGAACAGCTAACTTTTTAATTTTTTTTCTAGTATTTGACATTTAACGACTGGACAGTGTGAAAGTAGAGAATGCAAATAAATTATAAATTCCAAAAACCTGTCTGATGGGTTCCTGTATTAACTACTGATTTTCCTTTGAGGTAAGCTAAAATGAAACTTAGAGTTCAAAATACAATATTTCCCTGTATAGTCTGTCTGTTTCAGCTGGAAGCATCTCCTTTGACAGATAGCACCAACTATATTACAGGTTTAGTAGTACCATCTGTGTCCAACAAGTACAAACCTCTTGCATTGCTAAATGATTATGGTGTATTCTTAGGATTTTTTATTCGAAAGAATGGCAAATATGAAGTGGGGACTAGAGTGGAAAGGTCAGCTTGCTGCTAGAGGGATCATATATTATAGACATGGACCTGGACATTATTTCAATTCAGGAAAATTTTACAGATAGTGGGCTTCAGTCATGAGGTTTGTCATTCCACCATTTTTGGTGGAGGCTGCCGAGGGAGGGAGGGGCAAAACGGGCAGCTGCTCTGGAGCCCAGCAATTTAAAGGGGCCTGTGCTCCCAGATGTTATTAGCTCTGCTGTAACTGGAGTCCTGGGCCCTTTAAATTACCACTAGAGCCCTGGGAGGTGGTGCTCCTGATGGCGCTGAAGGGCTATCTCCATCCCTTCCACCTGAGGCCATTGGGCAGCTGGGAGTAGTCTGTTGAGTCCTGCACTCCAACCTTCCACAGATCAATATCACTAAGCAAATTTCACTTAAACTTGATTGGTAATTTGTGCATTGCTAAGCCCCGTAACAGTCTTCATTCTGATATTGATATGCACAAAGTTTCCAAACCTGTTTTTCTACAATTGAAACATGTTCTCTTATGGTATTTCTACAATAGGCAGAATTAATTTGGAATTATTCAGAACAAAATAATAAAATGGAAATACATTACAGCAACAATACTGTGGTCTGTGTCATCTTCTTATGATTCTCCTTTCCCAGCTGCTGATGTGTATATAACATTTTAGAATACTTACCCAGCATTGGCTGGGTCCGGGTCCAGGCTTAGGACAGGGTAGCGGGGGCAGCCTGGCTTCCACCCACCAGCTTCTCCCACAGGCTTCTCCCAGAGACTGGCCCAGGAGTGGCAGAGGTCATGTAGGCCACCTGCTGGCTTCTCCCCAGGCACAGGCCAGGAGTGGCAGGGGCCATGCTGTCTGCCATCAGCTGCTCCGCAGGGCAGGAGCATTTGCTGCCCCTCTGTGACCACTCTTCAGTATAACAGTCCCTGCTAGAACACCCCTCCCTTTTTATTTAATTTGAAACAATCACATTCCACACACATGCCATCGTCCTGGCACAACCAAACCCTGACCTTTAAATTATGATAAGAGGAAGCTGCATACCAAATTTGGTGGTCCTAGCTCTTACTGTTTAGGAGGAGTTCTTGAACAAACAGACTCACAGATGGACAGATAGACTCTCTCAAATATAATAGTAGATTGTGTGTGTGGAAAAGGGCTGGCAGTTTTGAAGAAGGAAACATGGAAGATGTCCTCATCCTGAGTTTTGGATAGGCCTGAGATTTGTTTCACTACTACTTCTACTTTTCTTATATACTGTGCATTTATACTATTGTGTCTTTTTGAAAGTCTCACACATTGATCGCAGTTGTAGGTTATGTGAGGTGGGATCTAAACTCTTCAAGTTCCTTAAACCTTCGTCAATGTGTTAAGGGCCTTCTGGGGCTTCTGCTTGGGTTTGCCTCAGAGCTGAGGCAACGGCACCTGGGAAACTCTTGAGTACAAATATCTTAGTGCAGGTGCTTAGATCCCCATCACAGCTGCCTGGTGTACCAGTGAGCCAGGATAGCAGTTCCAGGGGAAATATTGGTGCCTTGATCAGAACAGAGATATTCTCTCTTCCAGTTCTCCCTCAGCACTGACTCCTCCTAGCTCAAGCTCTACTTTTCCCTTGCTGCTTTCACAATAGAACTCTCTTAATCCTTGTATGTACAAAATGACTAATTTACAACTAATTATTTTGGGGACCAAATACACCCTATAGAAGAAGAGGGCTCTCTTTTAATCTTATCCCCTTCTGCTGATATCTCCTTCAGTTCCCTTCCCTTTGTACTATAAGTTACAGCTATCATAACACACATACACTGAATTGCAAAGGCCTAGTTCATCTCTCACGCTCATATGCGACAAAACTCCACTGATAACTGATTTACACTGCCCCATAAAAATGGTGCAGGAGAGAGGGGAATCAATTGGGGTCAATATTGGTAGGTGTCATGCTGCCGTTCTTCTTGCAATCCATTTTATGACCACCTTGCACCCAATATGGAATTTGCATCACTGCTGAATTTGATCTAGAGACTTTCAAGGTGCATCATCTTACTTTATGCTGCATTTGGCTGAATTTGGTCCATGGAATAAGGATAGGAGACATGAGACAAGAAACTAAACATAGCTATATTTATGAAGTCTAACATATCTCTCTCTTTAAAATCATTCCACTGGTTTACTGTCCTAAATTAGCTACCTGTCAGTAAGCCTATGCAATTGTTTAATAATATTTACCTCTTGCAGTATATGGAGTGACTGACTGGCCAGACAGTTATTCCTTTATCCCCTATCTGGATCTAGTTAGTGAAATTCAAAATACCTTGCCATATCTGTAATTATTTTTTAAATAGGATTTTCTGTTGAAGAGACCTTGGAATCTGCAAGGAAATGCATTTAGTAATGATGACAAGTGGGAAGGAATTAAAAAAGGAGTAAATAGAGGATCTCAACATCACAAAGGAAACTTCTCTAGTACCACCATCCCTCAGTTGTAGCATTAATTTTTCTCATTGTTCTCAATAAACACCTCCACAAAGCTCTATTGTGTTTTCTATTTTTCAGTCCTTAGCCACCTTGAAGTCAAGCATTATGTGTGAGAGTAAGAGTGATTTACAGGTAATGGAGGCAGGATCAGTCCTTACATTTTCCATAATTAGTGGTTCATATTAAGCTATCTTCATCTACTCCTCACAGCGCCACTGTAGTTTGAGTCGTAGAATAGCTAATAGAAGTTCTAGAAAAAAATAAACATTTTTTTTTGGTAAATGTAGAGTAAAATTTTCAAAGGTGTTGAATTCCATTTTCAAAAGTGATCTAAGCACATGAATCCTGTCAATTTTTGCTTTGCTGAAAATACTGTCTGTACTGTGTGTCCAGACAAAGGAGACTTTCCTTTTAAATTACTGACCGTTACTTGTAACTCAAGAGATGCACACTAGTGGTTGTGATAGTGAACAGTCATGTAAATAATAATCAGTGGCCCCCAACACTTCATGATTATTGTTATTCTAGTTACAAGACTTTCCACTTAGCTTTCTGATGCCTATCTCATGAAGCCTTTGGACACCGTAAAAAGCCAGGTTTCTGCTGAAGAGGGTATGTCAGAGTATGCACTGTCCTTGTGGTACTGGGAAGAAAGAAGGGAAAGGTGAGTAAGCAGCTTTCAATCTACCTCACCCAACTGCACACTCCATGTAAGGCCAGGAGGGCTGCAATCCCTCCCTGGACTAAATACATTGCCTCAAAGGAGACAGGGAGGAGGCAGCAGCAGCAGCAGGGTAGACCTTTCCTACTTCCACAGAATCCTGAAGTAAACACTGGCAAAGATCACACTGGAATAGTTTAAAAGAACTATGCAGTACTGTCCACAATCTCTGGGCCTGCAGTGGGAGGGAGGATCATGCCTTCTGAGATATAATCTCCTGTGGATCTCCTGCTGAGACTCTATCCAGGCCTTTCTCTCTCAGCCATAGGGGGGTTGTTTAATGCCACACTCTAGCCCTGCAAATATACATGCAAATCTTGTATTTAAAAACAATCTGGTCTCTGAAGCTAATGTATGAGAGTAATTTACAGCATATAGCTGTAGCAGGATTTAACATTGTATCCATCAAGCTACTTGTTTTCCTCTAGAAATGACATCAGATACATAATAGAATTAAATAAAGGGACTCTATCCAGTTATCTTTATGAAAGTTCACCATAGCTGATTTAAAATGAGATACCATTCCATAATTATATTTTCAGAATTTGTTTTTTGTTTAATCAAAAAATTACCTACAAATTAAAATAGAAAATTCTGGGATTTCCCATACTTCCACTTTTTATAATTTTGTTGTAGTATAAATGATCATTCTTAGCTGCAAAAGTGGTCTAGACCTGGCTTGCAGATTGCCTTGGTATTTCCACCTGCTCGGTAAGAGGTAAAAATAGTATAGCACTAACCTTAGTGCTGGTGAGAGATTACACTAGTTGAGCTATATGATGATGTGATCTGATCTTCTTAAAAGCAAAAGGGTTTCTCAGGTCAGGAGAGGCTGCAGGTTCATATCATGACTAGTACAGAACTTGATTTCTCACCTGAAAGACTTTAGTCTGGTCTACTTAAGTTTAGCTTATATAACAATGAAGGTTGGGATATGGTTTTTTGTGACTAGTTATGCCAAAGTCCTATTGCCAGTATGGATTATTTCATTTGAGGAACTGGCATATGCTATGCTGGCAAAACTATATTTTTGCCAGCATAACATACATTGCCACAAGGAGAGTTTCCTGGTATAAATATACCAGTTAATGGTGGGTGTTAGTGCTTACAGGCTCAGGGCCTATTTCAGAATAAACTACTAATCTATTCAGGGACTTATCTACACTAGAAAGGGTTTTTGGATTAGATCAATAGTTTGCCAGGAAATAGGCTCTGATGCTGCAAGCACTGACAAACATGCTTAATTTTACACACATGGGTAGTCTATTGAATTTAACTGAATCACTTGTGTGCAGAAAGCTAAGCTGACACATCATTAGTTGCAGGATCAGGGGCATTTTTTGCCCCATTGCTTTGCATGTTTTATGGCTGATTCTAATCTTGCTGACATACAGCAATGTAAATCAGGAGTGGCCATTGTGAAGTGAGTAGAACTACACTATGGGAAAGCAGAGTGAATGAAATAGAATCAGGTCTGGGAGATCTTTTCTGGCCTCCAGTTACAACATGCACAGGTATCTTTAAAAATCATTCTTAAAGATGTTCTAGGTCAGTTTTACATGGATGGCATTGTGTTCTCAAAATGT